TAGCACCGATTCATGGAGTTTCCCATTTAAAATGTGCCCATAAATGGCAGTTATCGAACGCATACTCACGCACAGACATATTTGAACGCGAAAACAGCAAAACATAAAAAATGCAAAAACTCGCACGCCGAGGGGAGTCGAACCATCAACCCCACCCCCACTGTCCGCTTGAGAATCCTCCACGCTATCCACTAGGCCATCAGACCGTTGTTCCGGACGGCTACTAAGATCGTTGAAGGACCATTCCAAGGAGCCGTTCTCTCTTGATCACGTGCCACAAGTAAGACCCCATACCCCGACTACTTTTCTCTTCGATTCCGATAGTACCTTTATAGGGACCCTCCACTCAGCAACTGGTCAAAGTTTCAAGCGGTTTACAGCTCGTAGAGGCTCAAAAACATCAGTTTCCATAGGTTTCTTTTTCGCTCCTTTTTTGGCATTCCAGGGGCCGCTCAGCGAAAATGAAGCCCACTTTTATGGTTCATGGGCAAGGCCCTACAAAGTGCAAAGAACCGTTTCGAAAAAGCGGGGCACGCCCTGAACGACCTCCCTTGTTAGTAATGTGCGCTTACGTCATTCTCGAAATACTTCCACAGTTCGGTAAGTCGCCATTTCGGAACCGGTGAGTCCGCCACGCCATCCTGTTCCGCCAGTTTATTGATGCTGTAGTTGGTGAGGTGCATGTATTTATTGGAGACAGTTGATAAGGATCGTGAAACGCGGAAAGTACAGTCGAAGTAACCTGAACTAGAACGAAGAACAACAGTTAGCGGACAACAATATCGCTGCAAGCCATTGGAACTTCCCACTATTTAGAAAATAAAGAATCTTCAATCCAAATACAATCTACCGGCTTACACGCCAAAGGACCCGCATCACCACTTTCCCTTTCCTTCTTTTTCCTCACCATCCTCTTCAGGCCTCCACATACCGCCCTTAATCATCCTTCAACTGTCCCCCCCCCCTCCTCATCTAGATACACTTTATTATGACGCACCAAAAATAGTGAGCAGCACTAATGAGGCCATTCTCCACAAATCGGTAGCTAACGAAAAGGCCAAATCCTTCAGGACCCACTCGTCTCATGTCCTGAAGCATCGCTCCCTAACAACTCGTTCAAAACCCCGGGGCGGAAGCATACATCGACCCATTATCTTGCGCGCGTTGCGATCAGTGTAGGAATGCGTAGGATGTAATTGATGCCCACGTGCACGGTAAGTGCAGTCCACTCCCCAAGCCCATGAACAACATTAATACCAGTCAAGCCTATTGCTTGAAAGCGCGAGCTTACCATCTATTGTAGCCCATAAATAATTTCTCTTCACCCGTTCCAGAATGGCACCCTTTCCCACCATACTTTTTTGCTATTGATGAGACTCCCAAATTTGAGCGAAGTGACTCATGATCGACAAAGACAGCGATGAGAACAGCATAAAAATCGAAAGATGATAGTTCCATGATCTTCGTTTTCGTAAGAATGGCAGCTGAATAGTACTCATGTCAAGAAAAATAGTTTACTTAACGACAGAACGGCAAAGATTTGATCACTTAATCGACAGAACGGCAAAGTTACCTCTAGGATTTGATAAAACGTATTCTACACCTCTTACTCGATCGATTCCATGAACTACTCGTACATGCCTAGACACAGAGCTACAGTCCATACCTCAAAGATGTGGAGGGCGCGACTGCGTTCAGGTTAGTTCATTCAAACGTGACGTAGGATGCGTTTTTCATGGGATATACCATTTAAAATGACTGCGATTTTGTCTGGGTGTAAAAAACGACATGACCGCAACTGTTCCCAAATACCCCACCAAAAGCATAGCCGTAGCCACTTTCAAGGGAAGCGCGTCGCAATGCCTTCCTCAGCTCCGGGATGTGGAGTGAACATGAGAAGGGGAACACTCGGACTGGATTAGTTGGCTGATTAATTCTTCAGTTTAGGTAGCACCAGACAAAGAAGTGATCACAGGAGAGGGCCTAGGGGACCGAAATACACCACTACAGGGGCCAAAAAACACTTCCGCGGAGTCACATATCAGCAAAGTTTTGCTGATATGTGACTCTCAGCCCGGACAGAAGAAGACGTGGATACGAGTACCAGGGCGGAAGATACCCAAGATGTTCCTCGATAAGCAGGAGCTCCGTCCATCACCTTCATGTACACCAAAATATGAAGCCATCTCCAATCGCAGCCGGACTGGAGAAGGCCTATGGAATTCACGTCACCTCCAAACAGCTGCGAAACTTCTTGTATGGAGTCACCCATGGACAGCTACCTGGAGACCAGCACTCTTGATCTGGAAGACCTCCAACATCGAGCAGCTCCGACAACGTCGCCACGGTCCAGGATATCATCTTCACCGCAGTCGCCAAGGCGCGGGTTGATGGTATGGACCGGAAGTTCCTGGAATGGGAAGACCGATATTTTCTTCGTGGACCCCGGACTGAAAGTGAACGCTGACGGTTACATCGACCACTCGAGAATATCCTGCCTTCATGTCGTCGCCCGTACCATCTTGGAAACTTCGTACTTGGGTGCCACCACATGGAATCGAAGGGCATTGGAAAAACTCTCGCCTAATATCAAGTAGGTCACCTGACCTCAACTCCCTCAATTACCCGGTTCGGGCGGAGCTCAATAGGATGGCCACGGCTCATCCAGAAGCAGTAGACGGCAAGAAGTATGGCTGCACAGGTGCACATATGCTGTTGAATATAGGTGGTGGAAGTGTTCCTAATCCAGAATTGAATATAGCTGCAATTTGATATCGCCTTGGAAAGTCGAGAGAAAAAAAGTGTCTTTGTTTTCTGCCTCCTTCCCCACCCCCCATGCCGTGGTGCCTTCCATTTAGTGCATAACATCAGAATCTGCAACTCTCTTCTTCCCCTCTCTCCCTCTCCCTCTCTCTCTCCCTCTCTCTCCCTTTCTCTCTCTCCCTTTCTCTCTCTCCTCTCTCTCACTCTCGTCTATCTCTCCATTACTACAAATCGTATACAAATAGCTCATGCACCAATATACGAAATTGGATTTCCTTCTCCGTACAAAATCGTGAAATGAATTTCTCTCATCCATGTCGCTCACACCTCTCGCTAGGAAAGTTATGGAAAAAATCCAGGGTAAGCGCAAAAGGTGATGAAAAGAGAAGGGAAGAACACTCACGGGAACACTTGCGAATCTGACAAGTCCTTCCTCGTAAATGTAGATACGCAAAGGTTCCAACGACGGTACATATACATAGAGGCGGAGGTCGAACTTTGCTCCGTTTATCGTCAACGGTCGATCCAGATAGCTAAACAACGTGCATTCCAGTTAACTAAAGAGAGTGAATTTCGCTCTCTATAACTGAACCACAAAAAACATACTGTTGCGCCACAAGTTGGGTTTTTTCTGGTATGTCTTTGATTTTCCGCGTAACGCTTATCCCGGTACCTCTAGCGCTAGCCGGCTGAAAGTGTTTGCATAAAAAGTACGTACTTGACGGAAAGCTTCAAGGGAAGAAAACTGTGAATAATGTTCACAATGGAAAAAAAATCAAAAAAACCTGGATATAACACAAATGTGGAAGCGCAGGAGATACAACGAATAAAACCAGAGATTAAGGACAAACCGCCAGGGTACAGCATCGTGATGTGTGAGGTGGTAGTTTAGGTACGACCCTCCCCCCTTCCAAAACACCTACCTATCTTCCTACAGATTTCCCCCAGTTTGCACCATTTTCCATTTTTTCACCCTAAAATTTTGCTGTCGGGAGGGGGGGGGGGGATAGATGGGGAACTCCACAAGTAGTAAATCGCAAAGTTCCCTTTATGATTCTTTTTTTCAGTTTCCAATTACTCGAAACGTAATTGGAAATTGGAAAAAACCAGTCCAACCAGCGTTTAAAGGCAGTTGCCTCGATGGTTTCCTACTTAGCCTAAAATGCTAGTAGGGCGCTGTATAGTGGGGAAAGAACGGAGTGAAACGGTCAAAATCCTGCGAAGAAAAAGCCTCCGTTCTCAGTGACTTGTAAATCGATTTCGGACGAGTTTCCCGTAGGCATCTTACCAATCACCGCTACCGAAGATACGGCTGCATATGTGTACCCATGTATGCATGCAGCATCACGGCCGCTTCATACCAATCCCTTCGCTTCATAATTTGCTTAGCAAATGAATGAATACGAGCGTCAGGAACGGTCGTCCATTTGTGGGCGGGCGTTTGGGACGTAAAGTTGTGGCTTGATAGGGCCCTTATAAGGGCACCTTCCTCGGGGAAACCGCTATGCAGCGCCTGCCCAGGGTCGCGGAGTATTGATCCTAGTCGTCTTGGG